CAGAACATTATCAACACTGACTATATAATCACTTTCAGCTCTTGAGTTTAATTTCAAATCTATAATACTTAATACTGTATCGAGTGTTCTTTTTACCATTTTTTGATGCCTTATTCAAATTCACAAAAACGTTTATCAAACTGAGCAACTCTTTTGAAAAGTCAGCATCGTTTATGTATTAATTTTGTTATTTTTATGACACAAACAATTCTTCAAAGTCTATCAGGTTGTGATGCATACTTGAATACCAGTCATTCAATGTCTTGCCCACCAAATCTCTTACAGGAGTATGCTGAGGGGTGTGATCAAATATTTTATTTGCATTCATTCATGTCCTTCATTTAAATGTAATCATTTATAGTAACACATCTTATTAGGGCGGGGAAAGTTTTTAAGGAAGATTTAAAGTTATTATCTAAAGTCAGCAATGTAATCAAAAGTAGGATGTATATCTCCATTCATTTCATTTCATTTTCAATTTGAATGTATTTACAGGATATTCAGATGACTGTCTTTGTATAAATATAGTTTTATACTTATATATATAAAAATTCTCAAGAATACCTGTAAGAAATATATTGATCTGTAAGAAATCTATTAATGTGCAAGAATACCCGTAAAAATATATATTAATGTGCAAGAATACCTGTAAGAAATATGTAAGAAATATATTAATGTGCAAGAATACTGTACAAATATATTAACGTGCAAGAATACCTGTAAAAAAATATATTAATGTGCAAGAATACTTGTACAAATATATTAACTTGCAAGAATACCTGAACAAATATATTAATGTCCAAGAATACCCGTAAAAAAATATATTAATGTGCAAGAATACCTGTAAGAAATATGTAAGAAATATATTAATGTGCAAGAATACTGTACAAATATATTAACGTGCAAGAATACCTGTAAAAAAATATATTAATGTGCAAGAATACTTGTACAAATATATTAACTTGCAAGAATACCTGTACAAATATATTAATGTGCAAGAATACTCGTAAAAAATATATTAATGTGCAAGAATACTTGTAAAAAAATATATTAATGTGCAAGAATACCTGTACAAATATATTAATGTGCAAGAATACCTGTAAAAAATATATTAATGCAAATTAAGGATATTAAGTAACAAAAGAGGGGAATTTTTTGACTGTTTTTCGGAGAATTGACTTCATGATTTGTATTGGCTACAAAAATTGCATAATAATAGGAAGTAATACCATGACTGAAGGTGGGAAATATTTGGGCAACCACCTAAATGAAGTCATTTGCCATTCAATTCTGACATACATCATGCAATACAGTGAGTGGTAGTAGGAGGGTATTTGTTTAAGTCCACCTATTAGAAAATGAATGATATTTACATATCAATAACTGACTCCTTCATACAATACCTTCAATACAAATTTAGATTCTTTTCTCATTTAGTGCAAAACATGGAATGTATTATTATTAAACTATTCAACCAATGAAAATAAGCTATTCAAGAGTAAAGATTGATAAGAAAACTTCCGTGACTGGGAAAGGTAACCAGGATTTATTATATAAACCCTATTTCACAATCAAACGAAGTATACAAGGGTTGAAAATCAAATGCTGTTTTTTGAAGGGGTGGCAAAATTTTTATATGACACATAGAAAATATTTTCTTTTACACATGAAGGTGATTTACATGCACTTACATTTTATTTCAATCAAATCTGGAATATTTCCTTCATAGATTTAACATTAGATTTAAGTTTCAATGATAAAATACTTTCACTGTTAAAATAGTGCTCAGAGCAATCGTAAAGCGATTTAGATGAAATATCGATGTAGTGGTTTGTCGAGATCTACGTCGTGCATATTGTGGTTCCTGTACATGGTATATTAGTACTTGTTGAATTCCATGTAGGATTATTTTCAACTGTCCTCTTGAACCATCTGGGATGTATCATGTTAAACCAACTGGGATTGTCTAGTCCTCTCAACCCCAAAGTATTGGTTTAGTCCTTTTAACTCAAATGAGGTGCCTCTTAACCAAACTGGGATGTCCTCTTAACCAAACTGGAACAGGTCCTCTTAACCAAACTGGGAAAAACTGGGACAGGTCCTCTTAACCAAACTGGGACAGGTCCTTTTAACCCTACTGGGACAAGTCCTCTTAACCCAACTGGGACATCCTCTTGACCCAAACTGGAACATGTCTTCTTAAACCCAATTGGGACAGGTCTTCTTTAACCCAATTGGGTCAGATCTTCTTAAACCCAATTGGGACAGGTCTTCTTAAACCCAATTGGGTCAGATCTTCTTAAACCCAAACCCAATTGGGACAGGTTTTCTTAAACCCAACTGGAAGAAGTCTTCTTAAACAAACTGAGACGTTGTCTTAACCAAATGGTATATTGGAAATGATCTCATAACCCAATTGGGACATTAAGACAACTGGGACATTGTAACCATGCTGAGACAAGTGCTCTTAAAGGTGCAAGCACACAAATATTATCGACCAAGACCAACCCTAACCCATCTTGGAGATAACCTTTTAACCAAGCCATCTTGAATCATCTTAACACAGCTTTGGCGTCCTCATAACCCAACTGAGACAATTCCTTTTAATCCCATATCTTGAATGTCCTCTTCGTTTAACATCAGTGTATATATATTATTGTTTGTATGATATATGATCCCATCATTATAAGGGTGTTCACATTTGTCACATGGTGTATATAGGTGGTGTTTTGATCACCCGGTATATAAATATATCAATTGGTTGAGAGTTACTATTCATCAATATGTAGGTGGTGGGTGTTGTCCTAGTTACTTAACAAATCTTATCTTACATCCTGGTCCATTATCATGATTCAATGTAGTAATCCTGAGACTATTCTTAGTTCAATGACACATGTCAATTCAGCACCATGATCATAATTTGTTTGTATATTAGGGCTAAACATTAGATACTATTGAGTGTTGTTTACTCATACATTTAAAACTCCCAATATATAACAGGGCCCTACATGTATACTTGGAAGAGTCAATAAGTACATACATTTAAAATAAAATTACAAAATATACTCCATGAAAGGGCTATAATGTCTCAATTACTCTGATTTTATTGTTTAAAATCGGAAATTGAAATAAATAACATATTTGTTTACAGCCATTTCTTTATCAACCAGAAAACTGGAATGAAATGCTATATCAAGGATAATTACTTCAAAACATATTCTATTTCTGTTCATAAAATGTGCAAATAACAAATCAATTGGAAAACATTTGAATAATGATGAATATTATTGTTTACATCTTCAAGTTGTTGTGTTTAAATTTCTGCTTGTTTAATCACAATAATTGTGAATGCCGTCATAAATTGAATGTCAGTGCCGAGCATTTTGCTATCTGAGAATGTTAACGGAGAGCTTGAGGCCTATTGATGTCAAACTCTTACAACTTGTATACAAGTCAATGATGTCATGTGACTGTATCAATACCATGCCTGTAGCTGCATTCTTTTACAAATGTCTATTGGCGTACGTTTATTATATCACATGGACCAATGATAAAAACTGCTTCAATCTCTAAATATAACGTCGCTTTCTAGTCATCCAGAATAGAAAACCTTGCCAAATATAGTCTTTTTTACCAAAAACAGGAATTATTTGTTCAGTTTTGGACAAGATTAGGATATTTATGACTTTTCTTTTGGCAGATTTCTAAAACTAACAGAACCTGGACCCATTTTGATGAAAATAACCATATATTTTTATAATCTATCCCAGATCAGTGTTACCTCTTTCAGAATGGTGTCAAATGAATTAGGAATAGTGATAGACAATCCTTGAACTTCCACCCGCTTCTTTTTTATTAAAATTCAGGAACTTTATAACAGAAATTATCTACATCAGGTAACATCTGGAGTCTGAATCAATGATAAGGTGGTTAGATATTAGCTAACTATATAAAGACAATATTTATCCAAATCACACTTTAATCAGTTCAAGACAATTTTAACCCAACTGGATATGTCTTCTTAACCCAACTGGGACATTTTCTTTAAAATAAGATTAAACTTCTGTTAAAAATATAATTTATGTGAACAAATGAATACATGCAAAATATTTTGTTTGTGGATCATAACAAATGGGGAAGGGGTGGTATTGTATTGTATATTAAAAATACTTAAGCGTATGACACAGTCTGTTTAACCTGCATATAAATTTCACAAAAAATTTTTCTATATATTTTGACAAAAGATAAAAGTACAAATTATGTTCTCAGGTGTAAATTTTATTCAGCATACAAATCAGTATAGTATATAGTAGTCTGAAATGTGCGTATCCATGTTTTCCCAGTGCTAATGCAGATATTGCCGAATGACTATTTTGATGTCCAAAAAATGTTAATCTTGATGTTGAATACCCCTGCCTCTTCCCAAGTCTAGAGTTTTGGTGATAAATAACTTTGATATAAGCTTCTATTGACACTTTAAGCAATTTAGTGGGTATTCAACTTTATAATCTCCCTTGTCAGTGCATTGAATGTGATTTTTCTGACTTCAGAAAGCTTATTATTGTACAGATATATGTTTTAAGGTTAAAAACTACCTATAAATCATATAATTACGGGCAAAAAGTAATTTAAAAAATTGCATCCGCTATTGATTGAATTATGTTGAAAGTGTTGTTCAGTTTTATCCTTATTCATTATAGTCTTTGGATGCTTGAAACAAAGTGTAGATGATTTGGAAAGAAAGTAGCAGAAGAAGACTTTTCTCTATGCATATTGGAATTTTAGATATATTTTTGTGATTTGCCCATTTTGAAAATAAGTGAGCAATAGTGACTTAATGAAGGTTAAGGATATCGCTGATAAATTATGATAAAGATTTACTCGTTCCCTATCCCATTCAGACTGCATTTTTGTACTTCTTACAGATATAAATTTTTTACGTGGCATTTAATTTTTAGTTTGCAATACAGTAACTGATGTGTACCTTCTCGTTATTTCAGACCAACCAAAAGAGAAAGTGTTTAAAGAGAAAGATCTTGTGATACGAAGGCGAGGGGCTATGCGAAGACGTGTACATCAAGTACATGGACACAAATTTATGGCCACATTATTCCGGCAGCCAACATTTTGCTCATTATGTAAAGATTTTATTTGGTAAGTTGAGTATAATATGAGTTAATAATTTGATAAAGAAATAATTTCCCTACTGTTCCAATTTTTGTAGTTTTATTTTCCTGTCAGACTTTGCATTGTAAGGAAAGAATTGACCTTCATCACAACCCCCAAAACTTCACAGTGCACAATACCATCTCCTGGTTAATGTCCCTGGAAACTGGAAGCCAATTTTGAATTTAACCACCGTGGAAATGGACAAGCATCAATTAAATTATGCTGATTATGATGTTATATATTTTAGGGGGCTGTTTAAACAAGGCTACCAATGTCAAGGTAAGGTCAAATTTAATCAGATAATTCTGTTATTTTCATAAAGGTATATACAGAATCTAGAATCTACATTCATCAAGTGACAGTTAGTTGATAAGGAGCCTGGTCAAACATCATCATTTTAGGGGACTTTACTTGATGTTATAGTTTGACCTTCTTGGCCAATACATACAGACAATTATACTAGCCAAGGAAATACAGTCAAAACATACTTCCTTGCTACCTTTTCCACAGTGTCCAATTAACAAGTTAAACCATGGCTAGGGTTTCTTATTGCTATTGGGTCAGAGGAATTTTGTGTAAAAATTATACACATCAAGTAATGACATTTAATTAAATATCAAATTTTGAAATGGAAACCTCTGCCCACACCCACACAACCCCACGGTCATCTTCTCTCATCCACAGATAAATTTGAACTTATAGGCCAAAAAGTACATGTCTGAAGGGTAGGCTATGCACTCTTCTATGCTCGAGTAGTTATCCAAGACTTATAGAAGAATATAGATTGAAAATTACATTTGAACTCCTATTTGCATAATATTTATGATCATTATGTTATATTTTGTAGTTTGTACTTGTGTGGTTCATAAAAGATGTCATCAACATGTTGTCACAAAATGTCCAGGGTCTAGAGAAAGTGGTACGGATGAGGTATGAATCACTATATTAATCTCTTGTACTTTAGTTTCTCCTGTAGACTGAATTGAACTTCGGTTATGAATTAGTGTGCTTCCAAATTGTTTAAAAAAAAGTCCTTGATAGCATTTTGAAATACATTCAAAAGGCTTGTGTCTGAAGCAAGGTTATGACATCATTGACAATATTTGCTGAAATATATTTTAACAGTCATTTCACTCTGTATGATACTGAAAATCAAGCCCTTTTAGTTGATAACTTGTAATATTAGGAGGCAGAAGGAGCAATTCTTGAATTTACAGACTTCTTTTAAGAGATTTATGCCATTTCATTTCCAAGAGATTTATCTCTAATCTATCAATAGTAATGATGTCATGCTATATTTTCAGGCTGTTGGAACACGATTTAATATTAATATTCCTCATCGTTTTCAATGCCACAATTATAAACGCCCATCTTTTTGTGATCATTGTGGATCTTTATTATATGGTATTATTAAACAAGGTTTACAATGTGAAGGTACGTTGTGTCTTGAATTTATAAAATGAATAATATCATAATATTCTTCATTAAAGACATTTTTAGCCTAATATTTTACCTTGGTGAAGTTATTATTATAAAGTGGAGTTATGTTGGAAGTAAATACATGAACAGTGATTACTCTGAATGTAGGCCTATTTTTGTTTTATGTAAGTCCATGGTTTTTTTAATGTTATCGGTTCAGGTATTAAAAGGACTTCTCTGTTTTCAGTGTGTAAAATGAATATACATAAAAGATGTCAAAAAAATGTACCTAATAATTGTGGGATCAACCTACGTGATATGGCCCAAGCTTTACAGTCTATGGGAATCTCGGGAGATAAGCTCAGTAAGAGGCCCAAAAAGGTAAGAAATAGTTCCTCTTGTTTAATAGAACCCATTGGCCTATTTTGCAAAAAATCTCACAATTGTTGCAAATGTGGCATATTAACAACAAAATTGAATGTAAGGCTACCACTTTATAATCAAACATTCAGATGATCTTAACCCCAGATTTCTTCAATTTCTTTTCTTTGCCGAGATTTCCTTAAAGATGATTTTCATACATAATTTATGTTTGAAATTGTTTCTTCTAGGGCAAGGATTCTTGAATGACATTCCTTTTTAACAATATATGTATATTTCAGGCATCAATTAGTGAATCACCCAATAGAAATACTTGTAATTTACATGAAAGATCATTATCATCACCTATTCCTATGCTGCCAAGTAAGTACTGTACATGCAAGTTATTTGCAGAAGCCGATATTGAGACATCTTGCCTTTGGAGAGCCGTGGTTATTCAGTGAGTTAGACGATTGCTCGCTAACCTGAATGTCCAAAGATTCAATCCCGATATAGTTTGAGAGAATACCTTTGGATATTTCATCTTGGTTTCCCCATGTCAGTGATGTGGGTCTGAGGAGCTGACATGGAATAAGCCACTAGTCATTTGGATGGGAGAACTTTGAAGATCTAAGATCCCTTGACAGTTGGGAATAGAAAATTAGTAGGCTGATGTCCTGGCAAAATTTCCCTCATTGCACACTGTATGTCATTGCAGTCTTCATTAGCCTAATTAGGTGCAGAAAAGTAGAACGTCAAACTCAAATCATTTCATTTTAATTTCAAAACATTGTATTACATTTTTACAATATTTGTAATTGCAGCAAATGATCAGCATAGTTCTCAGACAAGGAGTCCCTCAGCAGAAAGAGGTCGTAGCAAGCCAAAGCATAGACTATCAGACTTTCACTTTATCAAAGTTTTAGGCAAGGGCAGTTTTGGCAAGGTGGGTACATTGTTTTGAACATTGACTCAGTTTAAGTTTAATTGAGCCAAATGGTGCCAATTAACACTCGGAAGTATAAGTTTTAAAGAAATGGATATATTCAAACATTCATCATCATTAGTGTTTAAATATTTGAAACCTATGGTCAAATTTGCAAAACAATAAATACTTTAGTCGTCACATGTGAAAATATTGTCCATGTCATACTGTGAAATCCTCACCAGAACAGCTGGTTTAGAAATAAATGGTGAACTTAACTTTATTTTATACTATATAACATGTTTAATATAACTGTTTAATATGATCTATAGGTAATGTTAGCTGAAAGAAAAGGTTCAGAAGAAGTGTATGCTATAAAAGTGTTAAAAAAAGATGTGATAATACAAGATGATGATGTAGAATGTACAATGACTGAAAAAAGAATTCTGGCATTGTCAGCTAAACATCCTTTTCTTACAGCTCTTTATTCCTGCTTTCAAACAGAGGTAAGTCCTTAAATCTGATTTAAATTTTTCAAAACTCTGTTTTGATATGTGTAGATACAATTGCCTAATGGCTTTTTATTATTAGCGATGAAGTTTGAAAATTTTTTGGCCACACCTTCAAGAAAAAGGTTAATGCCAATTATTAATCAATCAAGCTTTTAGGTACATTTTGTGATTCAAAATGTATTTGATATGACAGATATAGCCAGCAATCTCATCCTTATCATGTTTGCAAGTTTTGCATTAATATGCTGATATAATGTTGTCTTGCCACTTTATAAAGGCAATAATTATCAATACATGAAATGAACAAATTACAAAATCTATACATTGATTGAAAAAAACAAACAATTTAAATCGGCCTCTATAATGACCGCTAGCAATTAGTTTTTCACTAGAAGCGTGTTTTACTAATTATTTACGTTTAATATTTCAGGAGCGATTATTTTTTGTAATGGAATATGTAAATGGAGGTGATTTAATGTTCCAAATTCAAAGAGCACGCAAATTTGATGAACCTAGAGCAAGATTCTATGCGGCTGAAGTAACGCTTGCACTTATGTTTCTTCATCGACATGGAATTATATATAGGTATGTATGGTTTAACTAAACTAGGGGCTAGAGTGATTGACAAGGAATAAGTTACTTACATGGCACAGAAGGCATTATTTTCTAAAATCGTAGCCAGTGCTCACTATAACCTCAAAGCTTTCTCAAAGGCTCGGATTTTTTCATATTTTAATGAAGATTTCTATTTGAAATCAAATGAAATTGTAGGGGATCATTAATAGAAATGTTCACTTTTGAAAATTGGAAGAGGGTAAAGAGACGTTGTTATCTTAAAAACTTCCTTCATTTTACTTACATTACTATTAATAATCTTCAATGAAAATAAAGTTGTGAAAATAGTTGATTTAACCTAGTAAAGGGAGGTAACTATTCTATTAAATCATTACAGAGATCTGAAACTAGATAATATATTACTGGATGCAGAAGGTCATTGTAAAATAGCTGATTTTGGTATGTGTAAAGAAGGAATGTTTGAAGGCAAGACAACTCAGACATTTTGTGGTACACCAGATTATATAGCACCAGAGGTAAATATCATACATTTTGGATTTTAAAGATCTCTTCTGCTGATTCCTTTACCAAAATGCCATATAATCAGGAATTAGTCTTTACTAAGTGTTTGTCTGATGACATACATTTGCTATATAATTGTTAAAGTGATTTATCGATCTGATATTATGAAAACTGATATTCTTCACCTCAAATGAAAACAAAAATGTGAAGTTGTTTTTCTTGAAAAGCATAATTATATAATGAAGTTATAGTCAGTTTTTAGCTGAGTAGTTTCTGTGAGTATTTATTTAATGTTTCTTCGTAATTATTAATCCCATGTATGATTATAAAGTTTTAGACAGTTTTGTTGTTTATCCAATGGACTTGAAGCCATTTTGTCTGTTCACATGTGAGTGTTATTCTTGACCTTTCCCCATTTCAGATTCTGCAAGAATTAGAGTATGATGCTTCAGTAGATTGGTGGGCACTAGGAGTATTAATGTATGAAATGATGGCTGGTCAACCACCATTTGAAGCTGATAATGAAGATGATCTATTTGAATCTATTCTACATGACGATGTATTATATCCTGTATGGTTGAGTAAAGAAGCTGTATCAATTCTCAAAGGAGTGAGTAGAGAGCAGATGATTACATTGTATATATTAATTGCTTGTCAATCCATACATCACAGTATGCGTGCCATAATATGCTTGATGTATTGTGTGGCCATGTATCAATAGTTTAAATACTAGGCATACCAGATAAACATGTATTGACATCATCCAAATACAAGTTGCATTGCCTAAGCATGATTGAAAAATCAGTTCTATCAACCTAAGCATTATAGCACCATAGAAAATGTTTCCTCAAAAAAAAATTTTGCCACACTATCTTGGGGAATTTATGTATTGTTGTACAAAATTAACCCATTCCATTTCTAATTTATCAAAATTCTTTTTACAGTTTATGACAAAGAATCCATCAAAGCGTTTAGGCTGTGTTAAAGTACAAGGACTGGAGAAAGCGATTTGTTTGCATCCCTTTTTCCAGGATAAGATAGATTGGGAGTTATTAGAACAGCGTAAAGTAAAACCACCTTTTAAACCAAAAATTGTAAGTTATCAGAAATACTATCAAACATCAAACAAAATCTCATCAGAATTATCATTAATTGCTGAAATAAATGGTTACAGAAGTGAGAAGAAGTTTTAAATATTTTTAAGTTTTTAAGCTTTTTTTGTATGCAGAATAACAGAATTTTTAACATGCATTTGTATTTGCAAATTTTCAAAATGGGATATGCTTGGTTTGAAATTCACAATGTTAGAAATTTTACCATCTTGGCTCATCTTTGAAATTTTTGTCCATCTTGCTCCTTCTTAATGTTTTCACTATTACATGATCATCATAAAGACAAAGTGCATATTTTAACAAATTTGAATTGACCGCTTGTTCTTGAAAATAGCTTTCATATTTTACCTGCTTGTTCTTGAAAATAGCTTTCATATTTTACCCGCTTGTTCTTGAAAATAGCTTTCATATTTTACCCGCTTGTTCTTGAAAATAGCTTTCATATTTTACCTGCTTGTTCTTGAAAATAGCTTTCATATTTTACCCGCTTGTTCTTGAAAATGGCTTTGATAAAGACCTATCTTATTTCATCTCTTAATTTAATTCTTATTGTAGAAATCAAAGACAGATGCCAATAACTTTGATAAAGATTTTACATCAGAAGAACCAACTCTGACCCCTGTCGAACCTGAAGAACTACGTGCAATTAATCAAGAAGAATTCAAAGGTTTCTCGTTTATAAATGAAGATTATGGAAAATTAGAGCTGGAATCACCACCTCCGGCTCATTGATTATTAGCTTTTAGGCAATTATACCTAATTTAATAAATTACCTACATTCATATAGATATAAGGATCACACCAACTTGATGTTTATATGTATGTGGATGTAGTTGGGTGATGATAGTATTTGATCATCTAATGGCTCAAAATGGCTGTTAGATAATTCTTAAAATACTCTTCAAATACTGACATTCACAGACGTATGTCGCATGTGGCGAAACCCAGATGTCAAATGTTGTTTTATAAATAACCACTGGATTTCTGAGAAACTTTTGTTCGTCACACCGAGCTGCAGATTTTTATACAAGACAAGAATGTATGTTATAAATGTGTGATAATGTTATTAAGTGGTGTGGATATACACGATATTATTCAAAATATATTTAATATCTTCTAACCTTTCATAGGTTTTAAAGTCATATTAAATATTATTATTATTATTATGTTATATACATATGTGACTATTTCTAGTCGTTAACTTATTCATGTTTATATTCCAGAGTTCTCCCCTCTTTTCATATGTTGTCGTTGTTTGTCATCCTACTGTATGATAGTTCGTTGTCGCGCTACGTTAAATTTCTAGTATTTTATTTTTATTTTTGGACTGAGAGATGATCATACAGAGTTACCTCATTGTTTTGTTTTGTGATATTTTTAGAATTCTTAATTCCCCGACTTGAATGTTATTTCAAAATTTTAGATACTAAATTTGGAAATAATGTCATTGGATTTGAAGTAAAACTTTTAGTCTCTGAATTAATGTATGAGTAATTTTATTCTTTCACTTTTTCTCAATTCAGTAGGTAAAATATTTAAATCAAAAGAGTTAAACTTCAGTAAGGTGAACAAATTTTATTTTTTTCATTATAAAATAATCAGAAAATAATTTATTTTGTTTTCTAATATTTGATATGTAGAAATATTTCAGAATAAACATAAAGGTAGAGATAAAATTATTTTCTATCTTCTAAGTTTTATTTCACAAAATATTACTTAAAAGTATGTATAATGTAACTTTTTACTTCATTTTCTCTATTTCAAGTCATACATTGACTAAATTTAAGTGAATTTATTTTGTCATATCATTCATTTTTACATAAAAAAATCTTGCAAAGCTGCTCCCATTACCAAACTAGGCAACATATTGGATGTATTTTACTTAGACTTTTAGAATTCAAATATTTAAAATTAACACTCTTCACAGCTAAATTGCCCAACTTGAATGTTAATGAAACTTATTCAGTATTTAAGAAAGTAAACCATTAGTGGAAATGTTTCACACCCATTTATTCATCAGAGCTAAATTGCCAGGTCTGTTCAGAATCCTTGATATTTGGAAGAAGCCTATATAATTGTTGCCTAGTTTTGTTTTGTTTAATATATCCCAGTGATATGTACATCATTTTTTTTGTATCTTAAAAGCTCAATTTGCTAAGTATTGCAGAGCATTGGCTCGCATTTATATTCCTGTCTGAATTTATTTTTTATTAACTAGTCAAAGATCATTGGTTATTGCATAATAATGACAAAAATAGTTTCATTTAGGAGAAATAGAAGAAGAATTTTGCACTTTGTTTTTATTTAATCCACATGTACAATGGGGTATATTGTAAGGAATTTTTTATGTTATATTAAGTCTCATCTTTGGAAATACATCAAATACCCATTATTACATTAATTTTATGAAAAAATCTCTCTGTCAAATTTTTTTTTATTACTTAGAATATAAACTTGTTATCATTTTAAATGTATAACTGCAAAATGGTGTAGTTCTGTATATGTATAGTTTAAATATAAATAATTTACTGCAGAATACTTGTAAATTTGCTGCGGAGTATGTTAAGAATTGGAATTATCTTATTAATGGAATCTCACCACGATGTTTTTTGAATGTATTTGTGTGTATGTTAGTGTTCTAATATATTCTAATTTGTGTTTGTAAAATGCTAGAGAGAGTAATGAGTGTTTTAAGAAGAGTAAGTGGGATAGCTGGTTTCATTATACTTAGTACAGACAACATGTTAAATGTAATCATGAAATTGATACTTGTGACTTAACCCTTGGCAATGTTATAATTATTCTTAATTGCGTTACAATTGCAATTCTTTTGTTAACTTATGTTTTGGATATAATATCCATGAGCTTATGTTCGAATTGAAAATTCCCTTCAAAAGCTAATAGTTATCTCGAATGCTATATATTTTCAATTTCCAAGAAAGCTATTTATAAATACTCTAATTTTAATACCTTTCCAAATTTCTTTCTTCTGCTTATTTTACTAATTAATATTAACACCACAATACTTGTAAACAATACTTTAACCCTGTGCCAGCACCTTATAATGAACAGTAACTTGTTACTTTCAATCACCCTCATCTCTAATTTTCATTACTAGATCAAAATAAAGAAGATTTTCCTTTAAACTTATGGATTACGAAATAGACCCATACTTTACAAGTATATATCTTGGCATGGCATGTTGACTGAAAGTTGTAATTTGAAACCAGTTGATCAAAGATTGAATGATACTAGATTGTTTTTATTTATTATCTTTCAAATTTCTTTTTTCTCTTATTTTATTTCTTAAATGGCAATGTTAAATGCAATAATGTTTACACTATAAGACTTAAAATTGGCTTTAAATAGATGTAAACAGTTCCATGTTATAACATAAAAGTTCAAATATTTGAAAGTGGACCTTTTTCTTTAAGAATCATATTACTGTAGGCATAAGTCCAATATTTAAAAAATACATGAAATATTGACCATCTTCAGAAAGTCTTGTGATAAATGGCAAAATCAGAAAATAATTAAATCCAGAAAATTCTTGAGCATGTCAAATATGGGAAAGTCAGTAGTAATGTTTTATTTTATATGTTTTTACCTTAAATTGTTCGTAGCCTGTATCATTTACATATTTCTGAATTTTTCATGTCAAATTCTGCTGTATGATAACAATGCTGAGTACATCTCCTTCCTCTGAGTGGTAAAATTTAAACAGTTTTTAATAAAATACAATAGCATCTGAAATTCTGAAAATTTTAACTCTTACCTTGTGCCGATTTTTTATTCCCAGCCTGTTATATTGATTACTTACATGTTATGATACGAGCTTTGAACATTCTTGACTAAAATGAATACTTAAACATCATACATAATGACAAGAGTTATGAATGTATCTCAAGTTTCTACTAGGATTTTATCATTTCACTGAATTAATTTGAATTTGACAAGTCTGATTGTTCTAGCAGGTATATATCTGAGACAAGAGTGTAAATGTGTATCATTCTTGAAATCATCAAAACTTGTAAAAACGCACAATAACTGTGGACTTTCATCACCTTATACGCTGGTTTGTCTTCAATCTTGAAATTAGTCAGATAAATAGTTGCTTTTATGTCTTGATTGAGTGTCTTATTGGCCTTGCATTGTTAGTAGAATTTGATATTCAATGAATGTTTTGCAAAAAAAAAAATTTAATCTTTCTTTGTATCGTTTGAGATTGAATTTGATAAAAGTTTTGAGATAAGTCAATGTTTATGAAAGGATGAAACTGTAAAAGATTTTTTCTTATTGCTAATCTTAAAAAACATCAAAAAGATATTCTTTGATAACCAATTTGTCATTTAATAAAATATGGAAAATCGTAAATTCTTATAGGGTCACAATTTTTTTAACCAAATTTTCCCCAAATCTTTTCTTTAACAGAAATGAGTCCAAGAATCTCAATATTGAAAAGATTGGACAAAACTTTCTTCTGTTAAACAGAACTATTTTCTTTATTTCTATGGGTTTTCATATTAATTGACGCAATCAGCTACACTTGAGTGTATTCAATAAGGGCCTATTTATCCTACTTTGCGAGATCAGATTTTTTTTGGGATCACGCCATGCTGATATACAAGACACACAATGAAAACATAAATCTTGGTAACTGTTTGAAATGTCTAAACTATACTAAACTACATGTCATTCTTGGAATTTGTATATAATTTTGGTAATTAAGTCAGATGCGTTGTTTTGTATGTGTCAGTACTTGGCATATAGTAGACACACAATTAAAACATATATCTTGGTAAAAAGTCTGAAATGTGCTGCATCATTACTTGGTATATTGTAGACATTATACGGTATGATTTGATAGAAGTACCACATTGTCTTTTCTAATCCTAAGCAATTCATCCATCAACCTCATCATCTTTGTCATCTAAGATTCATCATTGTTGTCATTCTCCTAACACCATTGTTTAACATATTGTTTTAAACTCTCAATGTATTACTCTCATTTTGTCAAATTGAAAGTGGAAATCTGCACATGTTTGTTTGTGTTCTATTTTAATAAGATTTTATTTTCTCTCTCTTATCAATGCAAATGGGACCAAGAAGTATGCATTAGTAATATCATATTAACTGAAATTTTACAGGTTAAGAAGTGGGCAGAGGAAGGAAAGGAACATAATATGATTGTGAAATTCTTAACAATAAAGTGAGCCACTTAATAAAAGATTCAGCCAATGCTAATTGCATGAAAAAGTGGATTAGTTACGAAGGAAATAACCGCTTCCAAAGGTTGACATATTCTAGTAATATTAAGCGTAAATCCTTTTTGGAAAAAATACATAAATACTCTGAAATGTTGGGAAAAACTTTTAGATTATTTATTTTATTCTTTTATTTTGTAAAAAAATAAGTACTTTTCTGGTAAAATTATTTACTTTACAGTGGTTGATAGTTCTAAATCAGTACCAAGTATATGGCATTAAAGGTTTTTTTGTCCTGTTTGCATTGATATGAAAAAGCAAGAAAATAAGATGTGGATTCTATAAGTGTATATTAGAAGTATAAAAGATACTGTAAGATAATTGTTAATATAAATTCCTATTATTATTATTATTATTATAGCTGATTGTTCCATTGTGACATTATTATTTTAGAAAAACACGAATCAGTCCTTATTTTCACTACCTGCCAGATACCAAACTGACAATTTTTATCATTACCAAAGTTTTCCCTTCATTTCTATTTTTGTTACATCTTTGATCCTTGCATTGTTGTATTCCCACCTAAGTCTGTATGTATTACCATTACTGACTGTTTTCATCATCAATACATTGAAAGGAACACATCAACTTTTTCTATCATTCTTTAAAGGGATATCGCCTTTAAATTTTTTGCTACACAGCTGATAAATTTGATTTCAGCAAACTGATGAAATAATCTTATAAATGAATAATAATAAAAAAAAATCAAGCTCTATACCACTTTACCCTTATTATCAGTATTGAATTTTATTCCCTAGAATAAATGTAAAGGTTAAAAATTAGGATTTCTGTTAATAGGTCTTATTGGCTTGATTGAATTTTAATTGAAGTTAGATACCATGAACTTCTTTGGAATTTTCCTGGTGAATCTTGTCTGGATGTTCCAGGCTATCATTAATATTTCTCTGCATTTCTTTAGCAGCCATCCAAATGTTTGCTTTCATGTAAAACTGTTTGTAGTGTAAATGTTTTTGCACTTTATTGTAAAGTTTCAAAATAATGATTTTGAGATGTAAAATTATGAAAAGATTTTTACTGTCCCTATGTTCCTTTAACGTCATAAAATTTATTTTTACCCCTCCCCCTCCCTTTCCCTTTAAAGAAATAAATGGTCTCTTTTATGATATTAAGGTCTTCAATTAGCAATATGTTTGAAAATATATTTGCAATTTTTAAAATCTTGGCTGCTCTAAGTTGTTTCTATTACATATTATTTATATTTCTTTATGTGTCTTTAAATGTAAACAAACTGTCCCCCCTCTGTGATGTTTTCGTCAAGCCTTCTAGATACACAAAATGTGAAGTGTACTCTGTTTATTACATCACTTCAGATATCAAACTAGATTATTACAGTTTAGAATCATGTGTTACAGGCTAGTTCAACAATAAAATGCTTTTGAAATAAACTGGTGTCTTTTGCTTCCATACCAGTAGAGGGAGATCTTGTTGTGAAAATTTGCGGTTCCTTTTATAAAACTGAAATGGATAGAAAAGAGGAACTTTGATACACTTCTGAATAGATGAAGCCCACATTGTGCAGAAAAGTTTCAGGTTTAAACGCTTATTTGAAAATATTTGAAAATCTAAGTTGGAAGCCATCTGTTAAAAAATGTTTGAGGAAACCCAATTATCTTGTGCTTCAGCAAGAAACAAGCCCCTTTCCTTGTTGAAACCATAAAATACCTTTAAGAATAATTCATATGCATTCATTAAGAGGGCAGACCAATTCACCTAGGCCAGGATGTTGTGTGGGGCATTTAATCTACCATCGATAGAACCCTGTCATGCGGGTACATTCTTCCATATTAGCACATACGATCATCAGCAATCAATTACAAAATGGCTGATCATCAAAAATGACTGCAGAACCTCTGATGAAAAGTTCAAAACTTTTTGCCACTGTATTTTGTGCACATCAAACCCTTTTAAGAGTAAAATACTGCGCACTATAACCGCAAATATACGGTACTTATCTGCATGCCACGGTTTATACTTCTTGTGAAATGCTTCCATACTAATGTCCTTTCCAACGCTGATAGTGCTTGGCAGATAGGTTTTTGTGCTCAGTATGAGGTAGAGCTTATGTATCAAAACTCCGGGTTTAATCCTGGTTAGGCCTATAGACTAATAGGCTAACACCTTTAAACCTAGATTTCCCAAATAGAAAAGTCATTTTTTGAACTCTTATAGCTCTATGAACTTCTAAAAGTATTGATGAAATGATCGAGCGCGGGGAAATTATTTGACCTTAAATTGGGGTTCAATTTGCGCGGGATAATTATTTTAGTCCCCATTGAACGATACTGTGCAATTGAGTCCGTCATCAATCATTCATGTGTTCACACTATATGCATTCAATTGCAAGGGACACAGCCCATATTTCGCCCTTATCTGAATACTATCGGCATTGTAATGATATTAGTCCATTGAATCTACTGATCGCTCTTGGTGACGGTAAATAAATAAATACATACACTGTGTCTCGATTAATGAGACATTGTCAATGATCTAGTAATTATCATCACCGGTTAACCGAAACTAGATGTTAATATAGTCAGCATTGTCTTATATACACTGGTAATTGATAATGGCAAAGATTGACTAATTGGGATATTAGGAATAATGGCGTCTAATTCAAAATTGAAGGACCCAAGAGTATGTCGCATCTTTTTCTCCTCGCCGTTTGGTGGCATAGAGGATGAACGAGAGGAATTAACCAGAAAATATTTTCCACAAATCCATCATCTGTGTAATTCACATGGTGTCCAATTTGTACCAGTTGATATGAGATGGGGTATCACTAAGGAAGCAGGAGAAAATGCTCAAGTTATTAATATTTGTTTAAGAGAATTGGATAGATCAGATATGTTTGTTGGATTCTTTGGTCAGGTGAGTTACACTGACAAGGATTCCATTCAGATGACAAGGAACTGAAACAGGTTTCCTAGGATTTACATGTGAACCAGGGCCGTGGGTCTCATATGGGAGGGGAGGGGATATTTTATATGAAGCTTATAGATAATTAATAATATTACTATTTCCATGGTGGTAATTAGATATAATATATACATCTGCCCCGTAGCTCTTATACAATGATTGATTTGTATGGGTGATAATTAGTACATTTTTGGTTATAGGTTAAATCAACTTGTTTTATGATGTATACCTTTTTCCAATTAGCGCTATCCAACAACTCAATCTGGGTCTTAAAAAAGTATTATTTGTATTTTAAGTGGATTCCATATCCTCATCTTGAAACATGTATCATATGGTCCTAAGCCATCAATTTGTAAGCTAACCCAATTCAACTTACTGCCACACACTGCTAAAGCTGTGCTTGAAGCACAAAAAAGATATTTTTGATTATACCTTAAATATACTACAACTCCGAATATATCTTCTGTCATTGCTCATGCATTGCTGCATTGACCATGTCCTCTATAGAATAAAGAGCATATATATTCTATATATTCCATTAATGCCTATTTTACATTTTAGAGGTATGGTTGGCATGGTGATAAAGATGAGTTATTGCAGCAGAATTTTGATAACGCAGTTCCACGATATCCCTGGCTAGAGAAATTCAGAGACAAGAGTGTGACTGAATTAGAGTTTCTTCATGGTCATCTCAATTTACCTGGTACCTTACCAGCATGTATATACTTCAGAGATAAGGTATGTATATAGAAATAAAACTCTTAACTACAGGCCTGTAGCTACAGTGGGGGAAAAGATACTGTGCCAGTGCTTTCAAGAGTCGGCCCGGTGTTGGCTCTCACACGGTCCTTGATAAAAAATCTAACCCTTATGTAAAGGAGCAGTCTATACAACTTTTAATAACAGTATAAAAATATCTATCTGTATGTCTATAAATGATAATATTTTCATGAATTTTAGGAATATGATGATAAAATTAGACAAGAAGGTGAGAAAAATGGTGATAAAAAGATCATATTCAAATATTCTCCTGAAAGTGACCATTCTAGTGCTATGATGGAAGATTTAAAACGGCGTGTCAAAGCTACAGAGAGTAAGGTATATTTATGTATTTAAAAAACAACCATTCAGTAGTGTAAAATTTGAAATTTGAATTTTGCATGCCAATGCTCTACTCAAGTTTACTTGCCTGATAGATATATACATAAAACGAATGCTATGTTGATAATATTATATTAACATTGAGAGGATTGGAAAAACAGACTTTCAGCGATATTTTTCTTTTTCAAAAGAAAGATGTTGATTAAAGTTGTTGACATTGGTATAAAAGTAGATGATTTTCTTATACGATTACTTGGTAATTAAGAGTATGAGATTGATTGAGGTCCATGTTGATGTAATGTAATGTTTCTTTGATTCTATTACAGCTTTTAGACCTTGATCTGAAATATCCAGACCCTTTTAAGGTAGGTATTATTTTTGTTGGGTATGATACATTAATCATAACACAATTTAAGTTGCTGAATGATAGAGTATTTTTATGTCTAAATCAAGTATATTTTATATTTGTCTTCTTTGAAAAATGAGAATTCATTTGATGGACAGCAATATTGATAAAGTATCAGCGAGATTGATATTGATATTGATAGTTTTAGTTGATATACCCCAGGTAGCAGAAATGATGTTTAAATGTGTGTGGAAGCATTTAACAGAGGTTCTACTGGTCGATTCAAATCAGATCAAATTAACTAGACGTCAACAAGAAATAATTGAACATGATGCCTTTTTATCCAGTCATTTATCTGTATATAGTCGAAATTCAGAATATTTTCATCAGCTTAACTCTATAATAGGTAAATTCTCAATTCTAAAACAAAAACAGCATTCTCAGATATTCTTGTTAGTTCTCTTATATTTGATGAATTTTATTAGTGCATAGGAACAATGGTGTTTGGCCAAAGAAAAGGCTGGCCTGGCTGAGCTCCCCATCACCCCAGCATTCAAATTTCTTATTATTTTATTATTAAGAACAATTTTCTTATCAGCCCCCTTGAAAATTCTGTGGCCTTTAGCCTCCTCAGCTTATGATTCATGGATAAGCCACTGCACAGGAATCGGAATCATAAATTCTGCTTAGCTGATATAAAAAAATTTCCTTTTTTTTTATAGCAATTGAATTTTATTTCATTATCAAAATAATGTATTCCCTAATATTCCAGTTTTTGTGAATAAAGAATGTATAAAATCCTGATATATTTAGGTACTAAGAAAAATTTACTAATAACTGGTGAAGCAGGTAGTGGGAAAACAGCTCTATTGTCTAACTGGATTGAAGAGTTAAAACAGAATGAAAATATTGTGCTATTTTATCATTTAGTTGGTTCCACTTCCAGTAGTACCAGTAAGTTATTTTCTTGAATTAAAAATGATCAGTTATACTAAGACTTAATTTTCTAAACAATCCAATGATTATAATAACAGACTTCCCTCTCATAAATTTACCATGAAAATGCCCCAATTCTCTGCAGACTCATAAGAAGTTCAGCTTCTCTACAATGAAATGAATGGAGTTTCACGTCCTACTTTTCTGCACCATGTGGGCTAATGAAGACGGTTAATGCCATGCAGGGTGCAATGAGAGAAATTTTTCCAGAACAGCAGCATTAGCCTGCTCGATTTTCCAACTGTTGAGGGATCTATAATGTGCACCGCCTGTAGCACACTGGGCCTCAGTTTATTGTCCCATCCGAACGACTAGATGCTTTATCCATGTCAGCTCCTCTTACCTGCATCACTGAAACAGTGAGCTTCTTTACAGTGATCACGCCAATGTTTTTTTTATAATATAGAATTAAACTATTTGATATTATCAATTTTGATTATTTTTTAAATTTTCAAAGTTTCTTTTTCTCTTTTTTTAGGACCTTTAAATATCTTGGAAAGAATCCTTCTGGAATTTGAATATGCACTAGGAGAAGAAAAACAGGAATCAGATAATTCTGATCTGAAGAAAAAGGCTGAACCAAACGTACAACAACTTTTGCAGGATATTCAAGTGGCTATGGAAAAACTGAGTGCCAAGGGGAGACAAACAATGATTATTATTGATGGTCTAGAGAAATTAAAACAAGCTAGTAAAATAGAAAAGGTGAGGCTCAAAACTGATAATTCTGAGTAGGTTTTTATGACTATAAATTTTTGTATACTTGGAATATAAAAGAATTGAATGGCAATAGCGATTTGTGTCCAACTGTTCTGCACCTAAATAGACAAATAAAGAAAGAGATGCCATGCAGTGTATAATGATTAATAGATAATAAATTTGACCAGGAATACAACATTTACCCTGTCTTTTAGATTTCAAACTGTCAAGGGATCTTTATTGTGCACCGCCTGATGTATACAGTTTATTGTCCAATCTGAACATTTAGACACTTTCGTTTTGACCACAACCTATATAGCAATGTCATCCACTCATTTAGGACCTCTTGTTTTCCTTCAGACAGAGTGCTGCATTTGTTCTTTTTCCTGATAAATTATGTACATTGCTTACATATATTAATTGTTGTGGTAATCACTGAATTAATCTTTGTCTCATATTTCAGCCCCTGTACTGGTTACCTACCAATATTCCAGATAAGATCAACTTGGTAGTATCCACAGTAGAAAATGACCAGGAAAATATAACTGAGTTGACAGATGAACTTAAATATGATGTCTTAAAAATTGAACCTTTAGATAAAACTACACAGCAAGAAATTTGCACAGCAAGTCAATTTTGATAGTTATATAGTTATCAAAGATAAATGCATAGGACAGAAAAAATGAAACAAACTCAGTGTGTTTGCCATCAGATCCATTCTTAAACTTATTTAGTCCTAATATTTAATATATAATAGTTTTAAGTTTCTGTTTTATGTCTGATATACTAAATATCGTGTGCAAAAAAAAAAGTGCCCATCCTTGACTTTGTTAGTTACCATCTTTGAAATAGTGTGATAACTTTTTTCACTTTTTAGAAATCACTGATGGTACTTGGTAAAGAATTATCCCCAGATCAGTTAAAAAGAGTTATTGATGCTGAACAGACTAAAAATCCTTTATTTCTTAAAATCACCATAGCTGTTAGTATTTTTTCTTTCACTTTGCAATTTGCATGGTTGTCCTCTCAAGTAATGTACATTGTGATATTATATGTTTTTGTCTGTATTCCACATCTGTATTCAACGTTGAGCACTTGGTTTTACCAATGTGTCAGTTATCAGTATATGAACTATTGGCGTAAGTAGGATGCGGTACTTGTCGAGTATGACACAATCTTTGTAAATTAGGTAAGGTACAGTGTAGTATTTGGGTATTGTTTAAAACAAGCAAAAGAAGCCACCGTTGCATTGCTTAAGTAAACATTATCTGTTTTAATTATATTCCAGGAAATTGTGGTGTTTGGATATTTTCGACTGCTTGATAAGAAAATAGATTCATTGATAAATTGTGAAAGGTAAGGAGAAATGTCTTTATTTGTGACTAGAATATAAATATATATATAATGTATATAGAAATTTATATTTTGTGAAATGCTTTTGTTTGTAATTGATGGTACTAAAACATATGAATGATATACATGTATTTTGATAGTGTTGAAGAGTTATGTGAAAGTTTTTTAAAAAGATTAGAGGAAGATTATAATGATGAAAATTATAAGGAGGGAGATCTTGTCAAAAAGGTAAGATTTTTCTTGGGATTTGTCTTAGTAGGTTTACCTCTCTGTCTTGCCATTGTTTTGACTGCCTTCATTAGCCCATTCTGTTGCAGAAAAGTAAAGGGAAAGACTTCATTTATTTGTAATAACTTAGATTACTTTTATCAGCTTAATCGTTAAATATTTTGCAGGTACTAACAGCCATATCAGTATCTAAAGAAGGTATATATGAAACTGAATTAAAAGAAATATTCCACATTCCTGACTCTATTTGGTCACCATTATATTTTGCTATAGAGAAATATGTTGTAAAACATTCAGGTTTATTAAAGTAAGCACTGCTTGTATTATTTGATGTTTTAGATTTAAGATTTAAGTGTTTTATGACGTAACTATCGCAAAATCTTCATATTTTATAGAATTCTCTTTGCGATTGTGATGTCATAAACTGCTTAGTTTGCAGGAATTGCAGGAACCACAGCCTTCTAATTGAAATGGTGCAAATCAATAGTGTTCCTAATACAAATAAAACGTTTTTAAGAAATCCTGTACAATATTTCAATATATACAAATAGTTAAAATTTGATGATTCTCAGGTCAATTTATGGTTTAATTTCTAATTTAGATTTGGTTTTACAGAGTTAGAAAAAGCTGTTGAGAAACATTTTGATTCAAGTTCTGAAGACAGGTAAGTTTCTTTTTGTATCTTAAACCTTTATAGCCCTACATCGTACCTGAACTGTTGTCAATCTTCTTTTATCCATGAAATTTCAGAAATAGTTATTTATGAAGACATATGTGGGAAAACTGACTTATGTAAAACAATTTACTGGTATCTTATTTTACAGAAAACAGATAATAAAGCAGATGATTGACTATTATGAAAATAAGAGAAAAGTAAGTGTACTCCTCTACTGGTGGATTGTATTTTATATTTAAATATTAAAGATTATATAAGCAGTTAATTATAAATCCTAGGTTTTCAAACTGTGGTACACATGATACGAATGAAGTATTGTCAGTGAGTTATAAGGGTTGAAAGCTGATATTGGGTTGACTCTTAGCAGCACAGGCCATGGAATCAGAATTTTTCTTACCGTGAGGAGGATTAGATCCAAGTGCATCTTATGTCACTAGCAATCCTCACTGTCACTAGCAATCCTCACTGTCACTAACAATCCTCACTGTCACTAACAATCAGACTCTCTACAGCTATTCCACTGACGCAATAAGGTTTATTATACATTAGTCTTCTACTATTTTTCCAGACATTCAACTTTAAGATTAATTCCACCCACCCTGATGTTAAGAGAGTTAGTCTTGAACTTCCATTCCTTCAACAGAGAGTAGGTGATACACAGGGCCTTGTCAGAACAGTTACTGATATTACTGTCTTCAATTTCTTATACCAGTAAGTTAAATTCTTTAAATTGTTAATGGATTTGGAAATAAGCTGTTGGAGCTAAATTGATTCCTTCATTGATAGTGCCTGTATTGAGTCCACAGTTCTGGGCTACCTTCTCTAGTTGTTTTCAGTTGTGTCCCAAATTCTTACTTTTAGCCTCAAGTTCCCTTCGCCTGGTGTTTCTTTGTCATCCTCAGTGTATGGCCAATCTATCCCTACCTCTGCGCTGAAGCTCATTCCATCTTATACATTGTCTTCACATTCCATGTTCCAGGTGTAGTTGCTCAAATGATTAGATGGAAATTTGATGTCATTGACTAATATAACCTGCTTGAGAAGTTCTCATTTGGTCAGTGGCAAATGAATTTCCTAATTAAAGGTAATGTAGCTGTGTTAATGTTTCATTTCTCTTATTCAGTGAGAATAAATATGAGTTAATAGAACTGTGGACAACCAGTGAACATCCACTGTCTAAAATAGTAGATAATTACCTGTTAAACTTTGACCTACGTGTAGCTGATATTTACCTTCAAAGACAAGAAACTCCCAATGTCAAGTATAAACAACCACCAGGAGTATTTGTGAGTATGAAGAGATAGATTTTCCTTATTCTTGCCTAGTTCAGCAGAAACCTTGATTGCACCAAGCAGAGGCTGATCTCCGCCATCCTCACTGATATGGGTGACGTAATTTTTTCACCTTTCCCTGCTTTTTTTTTTTAAATCGATTATTTATGAGTATGAATAGATGAATCTCATCATAAGAAGTGCCAAAGGTAATGATGACAAGCACAATTCTATATCATGAAAAATTGAAAAATATTTAGTGTGAGTTATTGCCCTTGTTGTTGAAAAAGCTTTCAATTTTTAGCTCATAAACACTAATAGGCCCAATTCTTGCCAAATATTTTTATTCAAAATCAGTGCTGCTAGTGGGCGTATATTGCCATGCCTGGCAAGCTATCTTGTAAATTGTTGATACTTTCAAAACAGTTGTGCATAATACTTTTTAATTTACAATATTCATTATATGCTATGATGTATTTCAGGCCAGTAATTTTCTGGATGATTTAAGAATAGCTATCAGTATGGTTCAACAACCTTTACAAGGCATAAGATTAACAACCAAAAAGATACAGATATTGGTAAGTACATGGAGTAACAAAATGTAGATAGAGATAATGGATATGCGTGAGAACTTTAGCTCCGGTTTTAATGCTGAAGTGAAACAGATAGCTGTAATTGATATCTATGAGCCGGTAAAGCGATTCAATCTATTCTATTTTGTAATTTGTAGGAGAACAGTGAGGGGTATATGAATGAGAAGGATAGACAAGCAGCTCTAGTTAGATCTCAGTATTTTCTAGCTACACAGTATGTTGAATTGGAGGACTATGAAACAGCTGAGTCCATTCATCATAAAATCATACAACAGTTAGAAAAGTTAGTTTCAAATTGCTGATTTTCGACTGGAATTTTCATGAATCCGTCAAGACATTTATGGATATTCTGCAATCTTCTCACCTGATATCGCAATACAGTCGAGAGGTAGTGGGAGTTGTACGAAGAAGGGAAAGAACCTATTCCTCAACTGTATTGTGGTACTGGGTAGGACACAGGGACATCGCAGAATAACCAAAATATTGTAAAGGATTCATTAATGGTTCAGCTTTGTATCAATACCAAAAAATTTTATTACCAATTTTGTTATGGTGAAATTTCTCAAAAGCTAGCAATCCAAAAATGGATCGGAGGAAATGCCATAAAATGTGACCTTTTGGCCCTCAATGTGACGATATTACATCTGTATATCACTTCCGTTAAAGGGGTAGGAAAAGATTTGTCCGGCTAAATTCAACCATTCTTTACAACCATAGCAAGATTGAGCTATTGTTTGTATTCAGTAATTTCTATGTAAAATTTCTAGATTGCGAGAAGAAGATAATATTATAGATGATAGTTTGATAGTGTTAGCTATGTCATACAATGATATGGGAGTTATTCTCATCAATAAAATGCAATACGAAAAGGTGAGATTTTGATATTAGATGAAGTATCAAAATAAATGTTGTACCATATTTGTTACCTTAATTATACCAGAATCCTTATTTCAAGATAACAAAACGAAATGCCAATAATATAAAATGATAATTTTAGACTGTTGATGTTTGATTTAAAAAAATCATCTCACATACTACTGGGTTGGATAGGGGAGTGGGGGTTAAATTTTGAATATACAGATGTAAGAAGTTTTATGCTTTTTGCATTAAAGAAAATTCATGTTCTTTTATATCTTATGTTTTATTATATGTTATCACAATATTTTTAAATTTACTGTTTATCATATTACCATTTTAATGTATTTTAGGCTAGAGAATATTTCTATAAAAGTTTAGAAATAGAAGAAAAGATAGCAGTGCCTCAGGAGGTGGCAGAATGCTGGATGAATATTGGAACATGTGAATTACATTTAAAAGATCCTGAAAAAGCTTTAGAATTCTTTTTTAAAACAATGAAGGTAATTAAAATATTCACTAAATTTAAAAGATTGTCAATAGATAGTCAGGATATGCCCACTTCTGCAGCGGGTGGGTGAAACAAGAAACAAAGTTTCATGTACATAGATTGAAAACAAAAGGACCTTTCATATTTTCATTTTTAGAGATTACATCTGAAGGATGGCCTTGCGAAGCAAGGTGACATACGCCCAACAGCAACTTTGATTGCAAGTACAAATCATTGTTTGTAGTCTGTAGAGTGGGCATGACCTAATTTCTTGTTCCTTTCTTATTAGACATATGAGGAGATATTTTTTGGCGAGTTGAACCATTCACTTGGAGCTTTAATGACTAATATTGGGCTAGCCTACAGACGGCTGAATAATATTGAAGAGGCTGAAAAATATTACTTAAGGTAAGTTAACAAGCTATGTATATTATGATTAATAGATTAATACTTCACTCTCAGTGATATGGACTACAATGGCAATAAGGCAATACCTTTCAAAATCAACAATCGTTTTCTTGCCCATTGGTTTGCAATTGAATGCAGAAGCTTTTTAGTGCCCTTTTTTGTCACATGTGATTAAAGAAATAGATGTAGAAAGACAGGAGAAAGATCAAGTCATAACATTTTTTGTTATTTTATTTATACTGGGCTCTTTATTTCACGATGACAAAAGAAATACCAATCATTTATTTCACCTGTTGAGCGCAACTGAGCAAAAATCATATGGGTAAACACAATCCCTTATAAAGTTATAGACCCTAGATGATCTGATGATTTTTGTTTTTAGGCTAAAGAATATTATATTATTATTATGGGTGCGCAATTCAGATGTCTTGATTTTTTACACTAATATCTTGTGACCTTGGCCAGTGCTTCAGTACGAGAGTATCTTCTATAAGATTTTTTTTTATCTTTCTCTCTTTTCAGATCATTAAAGATTAAAGCCAATGCTTTAGGCTGGTACAATCCTGATGTTGCTTTTGTATACATGAACTTATCAGTTATTGAACAGCTTCGCAAAAACTTTGCCAAATCATTAGAATATATTGAGAAAGCTGAAGAAATTTTCAAGGTTAGTAGTGTGGAAGCTCTGTTGTGTGCTGAATTTTCTGTCAATAAATAATAGCATTAGGTCAGTTTATATTTTGCTGATGATTTTATTTGCATTTTTCGCCTTCGAATAAATAAAACTCGTCAATCATACACTTAAAATGGTTTCAATATTTCAGAGAAGAAAAGCTAATTTACGTCAAAATCTTAATTATCGTAAAATTGTTGAGAATCGATTATATTACCTTGCCTGTCTGGAGAGATTTGAAGAAGCAGATGAAGATTATCAACATATCTGTAAGTTATACAAGTAAACAGATAGAGTCAGCTACATTTTCAACCGTATTCAACAGCAAGCTGCTTTGTTTCTTGGAGAGGCCCTCTGTGCCACAGGCTTTGCACCTTAAATATCTCAGATATATCTTAAATAAACAGTTAGATATCAAAAAGGAAAAAACAAATTTCATTACACATTGCATGGAATAACACATCCTCTTTAGCCCAAACCGGAGCAGAAACATAGAACAGAACATAACATTCCTTTTCATTTCATTTTGGTTCATTTAAAAAACCTATTTCTTGACTTGAATTAAATCTTTTTGACTGACCATATGGGTATCATACTCATTATGCAACAAATTATAAAAAAATGTTTATTACAACACCTTAATTTCAAATATTTGAATAGTTTATGAAACATTAAACCTTGAATTAGTGATTTTGTTACCAATTATCTCCCTTTGACCACATGTGGACTCACTCCACTAATTCATTTGCCATCTCTTCCCATGTTAAAACACGAAATTCAACCTTCTATAACTTTTTCCAGAAATCTCGTTGAAAGCTTTCCAACATGTCGAATGAAAGCCTGACCAATTCTCAATGTCTCCTAAAAAATTCATTATATGATGACCATGAAAATTTTGAGCTAATAAAATTGAAAGTAGACTACTACCGGTTATACTCATCCGCTAGAGTTTGGCACTTCACAAAACGACTATTTTTAGAATTAGCCTTCCACCTTTAAGTCTCTCATCATCTCACCAAATCTGAAAGATAATGCAATTTCAGACATCAAATTCCAAATCTAGACCAAATTTTACCCAAAAATAGGCAGGCAAAAACCCCAAAAGGGAGAGAGAAAGAAGATTTCTAAAAATAGCCTGGACTACATTCCTATACAATCATTTGCATAAAATGTTTTAGTGGAGTGAGTCCATGTCATGATTTTGTTTCTCCTTCTAGTGAATATACTAATAGGGGAAAACCAAATGGAATATTGTTTAAAAGGTCTACATAATGAAATGTTAAAGTATTATATACGATCAGAGCAGTATGATAAGGCTGAGAAGACTGCAATAGCTATATTAGATCAGTCCGATTTAATAGCCTATGACTTCATATACCTTAATCATCTGGATGGTTTAAAACCATTTGAAGAAAGACCTGTGAGAGAGTATAAATATTCTATGGAAAAAGCTTTTGATTTGTAAGCTATTTAAATTGTTGTACAGACTGTGAATCCTTTGTTTAATATTGGATACAAAGTTAACAATTTCATTAGTCAAGAGGCTATAATGAGTAGATCAATTTTGTCATTTGTTCACATATTTGATATTTCAAGTTCAAAATAAAACCTTTCCTGATTAGGCATTATAAGAACAAATTGCATCTGTCAATCCTAAACAGTCCCGACATTAGTGAGAATGAATATCACAAGGAAAAAACCTGCAATGACCTTTTCAAACTGCAATTCAGAATTTTAATGCCACAAAACCATCAAATTAATTAAGAACATCTGAAATGAGTCCAAGCTATGGAAAGTTCATATGATGTAATTCTTTTTTCAGATGGCCATCAGATGGTGATGTATCGAGAAGATTAGCAATAAGTAATTATATACCCAATAATAACCTTGACAAGCTATTAAAACATCTGGAGAAAACTGATAACAATATAGAAGGTTTGGCAGACAATACCTATGGTTACGCAGCTGAGTGGTGCCATCAAGCTGATAATGAAAATTTAGCTCTGAGTGTTCTCAAAAAAGGTCATGAAATATACCCTGATTCAATGGTAAGTAGGATTTAATTTATTTTTGTTCTCAAAATTTTATGATGACAGATTTTGTATCTTCAGCAACATCATTTTTTGGCATTTTTGTTATTCATCTGATGTCAAAAAGGCATTATTGATAGAAAAAAAGGGTGCATTCAGTTAAGTAAAGATTCAAATTGTTTTTTTCAGTCAATTATAGACAAGATAGTCAATATATTACGTGAAAGAAAAGATTATGCTCAGTTATTAGATATTTTAAAACCAGTAACAGAACGGCATGATAATTCATCCATAAACTTCCTGGCTGCGTACTCTGCAATAATGAGGGCTGAGTTTGATTTAGCCAGAGATTTGTTGACTAAAATTGTGAGTAAAACTGAAGAGGATCCCATGTATGAAAAGGTAATTACTTTAATTTCACGACAATGGTTAAAGGATATGGATTTTAAGGCACAAATTTTTTATGCAAGATTTAAACACTATAATTGATTTGCTTAGCTTCGGAGTTTCTGGAAGCTGAAGTGACTGAATGGTGAGATGGATAGTATATCTATCCCTTAAAGCTATTTTTATGACAAATAATAGATTTCTACTTTCTTTATTGCAAATGTTGATGTTGTATGTCAACAGGATTCTTATGAAAAAATCTATGTCTACTGTCTTGAAACAATATAATGTTGATAAACCTGGTAGCAGAGTGGCATAAGGCTCTTATTATGTAAGACAGATTGAAATTTCTATAGAAATCTAAGCATACGGAAAAATCTGAAATTGAAAGAATTGTATGTGCTCTCTTTTTGTGTTTTATCCAGGCCAGTAATTTACTCAAATCTGTTGATCAATTTGAAGAAGAGACAAAGAAACATAATGAAGAAAAAGAAAAGGCAGACAGTTGAGATATTATCAATTTGTTAGGCTTTTGTTATCAAGCAATGCTTTAGTTTAAATTTTAATTTTGTGTATAGATGTATACAAGAATGTACATGGTTTTGAAATTCATTCCCCTGCGATAATCATCAAAATTTTAAGCAAATATTTCTATATTAAATGTTACAAGTAGGTACCAGAGCATTCTCCAGTGATATTCATTCATATTTTTATCAATACTATTGCAAGCTTCACACTCATTGAATTTAATGAAGAAATCTCATAATATTAATGTACCAATATAATATCATTGCAGGACATGAAGAGTTTTGACATTTGTTATAAATCTGTCATAATAGTTCTACCTCAATTTATGCTATAATTTTCTTTATGTTATCGAATGTTTCTCCCTCTCAATAGCTGTTTCTGTGATATTTGACATATATATATATATGTAACATTCTTTGAAAAAAAATCTCATTCATATCATTTATTCCATTTCATTTTTTATTTATATGCCTTCAACTAAAAGAAGCATGCCGTGCAAGCAGATTCATAGGGTTTTATCTGCAAAATAACAATATGTCTGTCTTAAATTCAATATTTGTTATTCCTTGTTAAAGCTATTTACTTGTTAGATTATATATGCATCTTAACAAGGTGTCAATTTTATGTGTCGTAGATACCTTTTATTTTATGTAACCTTGATTCTGTATGTAACTTGTTTATTGCCTTTTAGAGGATGTTATTTACATTATTTATTGAAACTTTATATTTATAAAGAAATCCCTCTAATGATATAAATAAATTCAAATGCTCTATCTCAATTGCATTCATAGACTCCTCAATGAGATCTTTTATAGAACATTTTAACATTTTCACTGTCCATTGATAGCTCATTCTAGATTGTCAAATTCCGATTATATTATTTTTGTTAATGAGTGGACCCGGTAAATGATGTCTTTTGTAGACAAGTTCTCCAACAAAATTGTTGAACAGTTGACTTGTATTCGTTGTAGATATTACAAAAGGTTAACCATGTACATCTTGGCAATTGAATACATCAGACAAAGGACATGTTCACATAGCCGCTAAGTACACATAAAAAGAACTTCAGTTAACTTAAATATGAAATATTTTTCTTTTATCAAATTGTAACAAATTATGAGGTGAATAACAACAATGAGGAATATATACTATGATAATATGCACAATAAACATAAAACAGATTAATCAGCTTTCAAGGTATACATACAACATAACCTGTATGTATTAAATTTATCTCAGTTCTCTTGCACATCCCCTTTCTAAACAAATCCGAAGTTAAAAATCCATTCAGCTCTCGATATCCTAACCTTATGCATTGTCAGTCGTTTCCCCATCCAATTAAAAACGGGACTTAAGTATTTAATGGTCTGTATTTCCAATGATACTGAAAGAAAGCATTATTAACATGAAGGTGGCTAACAGCTTGTCAAACCCAGGCATGAAGGTGATTCAGATGGAATTATCCCTGCCAACCATCTAAACTCAAAAACTCCACAGCCCAGGGTCTGTTTCTGTTGTTCAAGCCATCATCAATCATTCATCTGCCTAAAAAAAGAACAAATTCAGGGTGAAAACATTTTCAACACATTAAACTAAAGAATCTCATCATAAACAATAATAAGCAAAATGGTTTGCGATACTCTCAGGGTTACTTTGTAAGCTTCGTCATTGTCATAAAAATTTATTCAACCTGATGAAAATAAAATGCATGAAATAATTATTATTCAAAGAATAATCACGGTCTTCAAGATGGATGGAATGCAGGAACATGAACGACACGGTATACATGTAAGATGGAATGCAGGAACATGAACGACACAAGTATACATGTAAGTTCACAAGATTATGATAACTAATTGAATTAAAATTTGTGTAGTTGTGGCTCAGCATAGGCCTATAGCCTAACTTTTATAACAAATAAAATATAAGACATGTTATTTCAAACATTTCTTCAACCAGATCCACATTTAATTTGTCTGTTATGTGATTTTAAATTTGAGAAAAAGTTTTCTAATCCTAATACATCATCTACTGATATGGAATCATTTTCAGTTCGTTTTTTCATTTCACTTTCATAGTCACTATCACAGTTCGATTTATTAGATGTGTGGTCGACATTATTATTATTTAGGTCTCTTAATTGGGTCACATGCGATTGAACTTTCGGAACATTCAATTTCACAAATTTTTTCTTCATTATTTTCTTATTCTCGATTGTTCTCAAACGGATCAGATCATTCCGTAACCTTTTAATAGTACAATTCAATAAAACATTGACTCTAAATTTCCCAACTTCTTTGTAATTTGTTTTGTTTAGTTTCTTTCCTTCTACCTCCTGTATCAGTTTTACCAAAGTCGAAACATTTTGTGATCGGACACCCATCGAAACGAAACTAGGCTCGTAATTTCAAAATTAACTTCTAAACTGAAAACTCTAAAAAACCAAATTACCTCTTCAACAAACACTGAATACGAATTGTCCAACAAAGTCAAAGATGATTTCAATAAATTGTCAATGAATTGGCCTGTTCCGAATCTAGTTTCTGAAAATTTAAGTGTGAAACGGAATTTTCGATGACACACGGGAAACTACGTCATCGATGACGCTACTCACTCATCGCCCACGCGCTCTAAACAATGTATTCATACACCAAAGTCATAAGGAAAAGGAGTCCTATTGTATTTTTTAAGTTGATAAGTTGACATTTTTAATAAGCGGCTGATCTGTTTCATTTTATAAAAAGAAGCTGTGGATTGGAAATTCCAAATAACCCTTATATCGATTTTATGTTTACTCTTTAAACAAAAATCGACTCGCCATCACACTCTCCTCAATCAATCTCAATGAAAAGGACCCAATTATAAATGTTTTCCAACAAAATAACTTCAGTATGGGCGGATGTTGTATTTTAAGTTGTTAACAGGGGAATAAAATTTACATTAATTTCCTTAGAAAATTTTTGGTATTATTTGTAATTTTGCTGCTGATTTGTTTTGATACTAAATTTAGACGAACTATTTTATTACTAAACCAGTTATAACCAGTTCAAACAAGAGAATTAAATAGTACTCGATCATCAAGGCCGTTTCAATATGAAAATGTTGAATTCATGAGCGTCTGGAAGGCGAAAGCTTTTCGAGAAAAATCTGATGCATTTATTCATATTCTTACGCAAATAGCTCGTTCTTATATCAAAGTTTTAAACAATTCTCAACAATTTCTTAACAGAAAATAAAGTTTATCATAACTATAAACTAGTTAAAAAGGCCTAAAATCATAGTTACTCACAAATTTTTATTCACGTGATTGCGATTGGCGGTGTGATATGTAAGTGATTAGGTCTAGCCTATTTCTACCCACGCAATGCAGACATCTGACATTCCGCAGATCGAAGCTCGTTGTGAGAACGCGTGGTGTAGGAAATACCTTTCTTGTAAATTGTTGATGGACGCCATTTTGTCAATTTGTGTTAACAATGACGACTGTGAAGGAGACTGAATCTGACGCTCAAGTGACATTCGAAGACCAACAAAAAATTAACAAATTCGCCCGTCACAATGCAAGGCTTCAAGACATTAAGGACGAACTTGCTGAAAAAAGAAAGGAAGTGCAAAATTTAGAAGACGCTGCTGACGAATTATTAATGGTGGACGATTCTGATTTTGTGCCATATCAAATCGGTGAAGTGTTTGTTAGTTCTTCGGTGACAGACGCTACAAGCCTTCTAGAGAGAGGCAAAGAAAGGGCGTTAGATGAAATAAAAGAACTAGAAGAACGTGGTGGATCTCATAAACAAATCTTGTCTGATCTCAAAGTTCAACTTTACGCCAAGTTTGGTAACAATATAAATCTAGAGGCTGAAGATGACTCTTAGTCTTAGTGAAGTCTTTTTTTTTAAGAGACAATCGACAAACTCATCAAGGCTAAGCCATTTTCATTAATTTATTTCATTTCGAAGTGCTATTTTGTAAACATATTCATATAAAAAGATCATTTTTGTACTCTTTCTGTGTTTTATGATTAATATATCAATTATCATTTTAGGTTTTCTTTACTTTTGCTGTTAGTGTTATCTTCCAATTCAATTGTAATTCCCAATTCCATTTTAAACCAAGTTGTTGATTTCAGATTATATTCAGGAATATAACATTTTAAAAGAGATAGTGGTTATGAATGGGTTATAGAATACATTTTTGAATTGGTACATATGATGGCAAAAATAAAGTTGATCAACTAAAAATGAATGTATGGGTGATCCAGAGAGAATTTCCCTGACGTCCAAGATAACTGGATATCCATAGTCATGGAAGTGTAACAATGAAGTGATTTAGAAATATGGTTTTTTAAGTTTAAATAAAATGAAAATCATGGTCAAGGGGTGAACTGCTCTACATATCCATATCTAGCCTATATAATTACTGGTTTGGTTCTTTTTCTCATTTCATTTTCGTTATTTTAAATCTTAAATACCAATTATCAAAATTAACTTTTTATTCCTTCAAGCCTCCCTTTTGGTTAGAAGTTCTTTTAACTTATCTCAATTTCTTTTCAATTTAGTACTCAAGCCAAGATTGTTAATTTTCGCTGGAACATATTCAGAGAATGAAATAATTTATGGATATGTAAAAGGTCCTGAAAATACATGAAGGTCTTCTGACAACACTTTCTCTGGAAGGTTGAAATGAAAGAGTAATGCTGTTTTGAGTTGAAGAAAATTAATCTTGACAGTGGTTTGACTTTCTTTTTTCTTTTCGGAGTTCTTAAACATATTTTTTTTAGTGAACAATTTAAATAAAGACTGGAACATCCTTACATAACAAAACTTAACTTGTAAGAAAAGACCATATGAAATGTGTGGAATTAATAACTTCAATTTTCTACTGTATAGTTTACTGATATACTAGGGTCTGCCCTAAGATAGATCAAAGAAGCCAATCTGGCAGCTTCAACTTTCATACATATCTACCATTCCTGTTATTGAATTAGACCTGGATGAACCTAACATAAAACCTCGGTTTGACTTACGTTTTCTCATTTATCTTTTGGATTAAACCTAAATACATATGAATGTAGGCCTTCTTATTAAGAATAATATATAATGAAAACAACTTGGCAAGACTGTTAAAATATGTAATTGTTTAATATTGTTGTTTTCTCTTAGTTTTGAAAGGCAATGGTGAGCTAGATTTTAATCCTGACAGTTGATCGGAAATTTTCTATCTTCACAAGATCTTAATGAATGAAATGGTTGAATATGAGTTCAAGGTGACTCTCCTTCACTAACATCAACAAGTGTGGTTCCGCATCTTGTTGCTATAAGGCAATGATGACCTAGAATATGACGGTTGAAAGGCTTCTACTCTCAATAGTCGTAGTTCTACCCAATAATATCAAGCTAATAAAACAAATCAAGTCATTGGTTTTGACAGTTAATCTACATCCTGAAAAATCTTCAGCAGTTCAGCATATATATTGATGGGGACAGTGAACAAAGATTAAACATGAAGTTATGGTTTGACTATATTATTTTTTTTTTTTAAAGTTTAATTTTATTTGAATAATGATAATATAAAAAAAAAAACACCTTTCTAAACGATAATGGTCTGTTTAATGTTTTCGTTGTAATTTTCATTTTTTTCCCTATAGAATCGACTTTTGTCTGTGGTCTCTTTGAAAACACAATTTCATCAAAAATCATAAGAGTGGCTTGATATAAATACATCTACATGGTGGTGAATTAATCTGAGAGTTTCAACTTTTTGAAATTGAACATGCATATAGAAATATATGGACAAATACTGTGAAAAGGTGGAATGCTCGCTAATTAGACGTTTTTCTCCGGTTAGTTTGAATAGGAGAGGAAGAAACTAGCTGAATAGGGTTTGGCTTGTATTTTTTTCCTAGTGAGTCAGTTCTTTAAACACATGCTTGAGTATACATAAATAGATTAATGCACACTGGCAATTTGTGGTGGAGAATTGGTTTGTGATTCTGAGCACAAGCAGTTTCTTTGTCCTGGCTGTTGGCCATCCTCTACTTAAATACTCTCTTACTTTTCAAAAATTAGGTCTAATGTATCACAGGGAGAAACAACAGACAAAATCCTAATCCACATATATACAATAAAGTAGACTTGAAGTGTCCATGCCATACAGGGTTTTGAATTGGAAAAAAGGTGATATTAATGAAGGTGTTAACATCTTGAATATGTGTAATATGATAACATTTGACACCACACCTGAGATTGGTAAGGGTTGCTGCCAAGACCAAGAATTCAAAGTCAAAGGTAACCAAAACAGTTGAATACTCTTATTTTCATATTAACTGGACTTGATATTTCTTGAATATTTTAGATTTACCCAGTTTTAAGTAAAGTGCATATTATCGTGTACTGGGAAGGGGGTGTTGAATCTTTGATTTCAGAAAGAAGTAGTATCAATATGCTGTATATAACCTCAAGATAGTGTTTGAAATTAATCCACCCTTAAAAACCCGATGCTCTACTCCAATGTAGAGTGAAAACCACCAAAATCCCTTAAAGCAAGTAGTAGATATGGAAAGGAATAGAAAACACTCCAAAAACACATTATTCCAATTCGGTGTTGGCATGAAAAAAGCTGTATTCGGTCAGTAAGTTTAATCTACTAACAATGGGTATTACAGACCAATTAACATGAAAGAATGCTATAAGAAATTTAGACAAACAAACTAATAATCAATGAGCAGATTATTGGGATTAACATTAGCTTGCGTCAATACATCTACTCCAAGCTTATTGGGTTTCTATATCCCTATTATAAAAAAAAAGATTTATTTAAATAAAACTTAAGTGAGACTCCAAGCTCATTGAGCCATCAATATCAAAAGAAATTCTTTTGAGACTACGGTCATATATATGAAGGGATATTTCTCAATTGCGATATCAGTATCCGTGGAAGCGAACGTTGACTTAACATCTACCAACCAGCGTATTGCAAACTTAACTTACGAGAAGGTATTGAGGGCATTTGACGAGAACACACTACAGGCTGGACAGCACACATCCAGTTTACTACAGTATTGACAAGGGATACTCATTCAGCCCTAATTGAAGTTTGTAAGCGTCTGATGCCAATGACAATCGTACAATTCAAGCAATACACGATAACTTTGAAGAGAAAGTAGAAGAGGGAGTTGGAAGGGAGGGCAGATCTAGTCTTCTTATTTCAGAATCAACATCAGATTATGGTATAGGCATAAGAAATTGTTTCTAGGAATTGAAGTTACATCCTAGTGACATTAAGGAAAGCAGGTTTCTATACAAGTTAACATATTAGTCAGTTAAGCTGTTGGTAACATGACAGTAGTGCTCAGGTAACATGCATGCTTTCAAATACAAATAGCTGGGATAGCTGTTCAACTTGAATCCAACATACTATTTTCAAACCGTTCTTTTTTCATCTCATTAAAGTATTGTTAGTGCACACTAGCTTATCAAGATGAGATAATTCAATCTCTTTCAAATTGAAAATATCTACCAATTTTTCAATGATGGTCCCAATGATGGTCGTTTATGTGTAAGGAGGTTGGGGAAGTGGTTTCATTTATTTGATTTCAGACTCCATGACCTTGAATCCACATTTCCAAGCCACTTTTATTTATTGAAATAATACAGTAGAAGAATGAAAACCAAACATTTATCCACAAATCACAAACCATTTTCTCATCTAATCAAGAATGGACAAATAAGAGCTGCATCAAGTCATTTAATTCATTCCTGAATATACTCACATGTTCTCCAATACAAGCAGCTATCAGAAGACTCGAAGTAAAACTATCATGGGATTATAGTAAAATCAAAGGATGAACCTGGTGAAGGCCAGCCTACATTGTTACTCTAAAGAATGTTTACCATAAAAACCTTTCTATAAAAGAATGACATGGTCTCAGTACAGTGACCTGTATCAACAACCATCAAGTAGAAAGTAGTAGTGGAAAGTATCAGTCAGGTTACTAAGTTACTGTAGGTTATTCCTACAAAGTAAAACATAGTACTTAAACAAGTAAGAATATATATATATGAAATATTTTTATTTCTTTAAATGGAAAAATAAATACAAAAAAATAACCTCGATCTTTCAATAAAATTAATGGGTGTTGTAAAATATAATAGGGGAGAGGAGGGATTTGTTTTAATATTTCAGAACCCAACACAGACAATAATTAAATACATTGAAGATATAAGACCAATTGAAGAAAATATAAAAACTAAAAATCATTCATAAAATACACAGTATTATCTTTCAACAAGCTCCAGTAACATAGTGTGTCACATGGTAGTATGCATATTCGTTAAACAGTCCTCTTGAAAAGAATCACCAATAAGCAGCACAACCAAGGGGTGAAATTATCATTCAATTAAAACCTAGGGGTGAAATTATCATTCAATTAAAACCAAGGGGTGAAATTACCATTGTACCAGAATGGTGAAAACAATATGGATCCAGTTTAGTACCAGATTCCAGAATTAATGATATGGAAGAGAATAACAACCATGTATTAGAATGGTGGAATTAATATGGCAACAGGACGATGGAATCAACATGGTAATAGTATTGTGAAATTGACACGGGAACAGAATGGCGGAATCACCATCATAACAGACTTGTAGAATCAGCATGGTGACTATGGTAGAAGAATGGTTAAATCAAAATGGCAACATCATAACTGTATGGTGGAATCAACATCAACATGGTAAAAGTCATGAATCAGCAGAACAACCAAGGGTGAAATAATCAACATCATAACAGAATGGTGGAATCAATATCATAAATGGAATCAGCATGGTAACAGAATCGTATGAATCAGCATGGTAACAGAATCGTAGAATCAACATGGTAACAGAATGGAGGTTCATCATGGTAACAGAATGGAGGAATCAGCATGGTAACAGAATGGTGGAATCAACAAGGTAACAGTGGTGGAATCAACATCATAACAGTATGGTGGAATCAACATCATAACAGTATGGTAGAATCTACATCATAACAGTATGGTAGAATCAACACCATGACAGTATGGTAGAATCAACATGGTAACAGAATGGAGGAATCGATATGTTAACAGAATGGAGGAATCAACATAATAACAGAATGGCGGAATCAACATAATAACAGAATGGCGAAATCAACATGGTAACAGAATGGTAGAATCAACATGGTAACAGAATGGTAGAATCAAAATAGTAACAAAAAGGTAGAATCAAAATAGTAACAAAAAAGTGGAATCATCATGGTAACATAATGGGAGAATCAACATGGTAACAGAGAAGTGGAATCATCATGGTAACATAATGGGAGAATCAAAATGGTAATAGAATGGTGGAGTCAAC